GTGTGGCCCGGCAGTTACAAGGGGAGAGAGGAACATGCAGAGCTCAGAGAGACAGGGAGCTCCAACTACAGAGGACAGGACCTCAGGGGTCATGGCAAGAAGTTAGGGATTTTATTCCAAAGTCTAAGAAACATAAAAAGATCAACAGAAAATTAAAACTGATGAGGCAGCCCCAGAAGGCAGTGGCTACAACAGACTGACCTTCCGACTAGAGAACATGCTAGTGCTCACTGAGTGCCCATTACATGCCAGGTGACACGCCGGGTGGGCACTGTACATACCACAGCTCATGAAATCCTCACGTGACTGAACGAAAGACTCTATTAGGTCTACTTGACGTGAGGTTCTGGAAGCCACCAAGGCAAGGCCACAAGTCAGTGAAGACCTCCAACCAGCCAGACCTCCAACCAGCTAGACCTCCAACCCAATCCTCATCATGTCAAGTCCACGTTGCATCTACCCATCACGGTGCTTCTGAAAGCTTCAGGGCTACACAAATGGGAAGGGTGGGGTGCTCTCTGGTGATAAGTAACTCACAACACAGTTATTACAGAGCAAGTTTAAAGATGCAATCTCCTTGTCAAAGCGGGTAAAACACTCCAAGTTGACCAACTGTCTCAACTAAGACCAAAAATCTTCAACAAATAGGAGTAAGAACCTCAATACAAGAACATAGGTACTCTGGGTAGCTGGGTATGAGACAAGTCAAGCAAAGGACAAGGACAAAGAGACGCAGGTGGGGAACAGAAAGAGACAAGCGTTTCAGCCCCACCTGGCTAAGGGTCTCCCCGCCCCTTACAGAGGAGGCCACTGAAATCAATCCTGCTCTGAAATCTACTGTTTGTTGCATATGATTTATATTTGAAACCTCTGACATCCCCAAATCCCATTTCTAGGAATTTACCCTAAAAAAAAATAAAATAAACAAAACTAGTTTTTATTATCCTGGAAATTAATGCTCTATCTGAGTTTCAGGTGGCGAAGATTTTCTCCCATCCTGTCGGCTCTCTCTTCACGCTCACCTCATACAAGACAAAGGTGCCAATAACATATTGGAGAAAAGACAGCCTCTTCAACAAATGGTGCTGGGAAAACTGGAAATCCATACATAGTAGAATGAAATTTAACCCGTCTCTCAGCCGGCAAAAACCCAGCTCAGAGTGGATCAAGGACCTAGGTATTAGACCAGAAACCCTGCACATACTAGAAGTAAACATGGGCCAACACTCCAACATATCAGCACAGGAACTGACTTCCTTAATAAGAAAAGCACAGGAAGTAAAATCAATAATCAATAAATGGGATGGCATCAAACCAAAAAGCTTCTTCACAGTTTTGCCTGTAATTCTGAGAAACAAGAAACAACCTGAAATGTTGAACAGTAGGCAATTATGTAAATTGATTCAATCTACCATTTTAATATAAGCCTTTATGAAATATTACACAGTCACTAAATAACGCATTCTATCAGTAATGAGATGGAAAGCTAATGATGTCACTCCCTGTCAAAGGCCAAAACCAAACTGTTCTATATATTGGTAAGGACAGTCATGTGGACTGGACATGTCACACCAAATTCTGGGTCTTCCTCATTCACAGAAAAAAAAAAGAAAAACTTTCTTTTTATTGCAGATTGAACCCAGGGTTACTCTGCTATTGAGCTACATTCAATCCTTTTTTAAATTTTATTTAGTTTTTATTTCAAGACAGGGTCTCATTAAGTTACCTAGGCCCTCGATAAGTTGCTAAGGCTGGCCTCGAACTTGCCATCGTCATACCTCAGCCTCCTGAGTTGCTGGGATTATAGGCATGTGCCCAGCTTCAAAAAAAAATTTTTAAAGGAAGAAAGAGTATCCAGAATAGGTCACAGCAGATAAACTCAGGCCTTCACAAAATGCTGCTTCCCAGGCCTCCTCCAGCCAGGGAGCTCCCCACATTATCATCTAGAAAGAACCGATGAGACAAGGTCTCACAGAAGACTGAGATGGCTCACTTACTTCCCACCTCAGGGCCTTCCCCAGAGACCACATCCTTGGCTAACAAAGACCCACAGGAAGCAGCATGGTTTCCACGTGTCAGTGAGTACTGAGGCAGCACAGAGAACACACCAGAAAGGACTTCTTGTGCCAGAAGACCTGGGTTCAAAGACTGAATAAGTCTCACCCACTCTGGGCTTCCAGCCTCCATGTGTCCATTGAGGGCTGGCTGGATGACATGGTGCCCAAGCTCCTCCAGCTAATGTCCTGACCCCACCCCACACCTCTGGACTCACGCCCTGAGCTCCGGCATTCCTCCCTCTGGTCCGCACCACCACAGCAGCCTTTCACCTCATCATCTGGCCACCAGCCTTCTCCTCTCCAAACCTTGCTCCTCACAATCGCCAGAGTGGGTCATCTTTTGAAAGCACAATTCTGGTCCTTTTCCCCCCAATTAAAATCCATCACTGGTTCCCTTTTACCTTCAGGACAAAAATCAAACAAAGCAGCATAATGTTCAAGAGCCTGCGGGATGGGACCCACGCCTGCTCCACAGGCCCAGGGCATGTGCAGTGCCCTAAACTCACCATGCCTTGCCCCACTCTCTCATACCACACATGCGTCCTGAGAGGGATGCTCTCTCAGCCCTCTCCACCTGTCCAGTCCTGACTTGTCCCTCCTGCTCCACCTCAGGCAACAGCTCCTCCAAGAAAGCGTCCCTGAATCCCCCAGCAGGCCCAGACCCGACCCATGCCCCTCAGGGCCTACACTTCCACATTTCCCCAATGGACTATTTTCTTACCCATCTTTCCAACTAACACTGAGTCTCTTGGCAGGGAAACTTACCTGGTCTTAATCCACTGCAGATTCCCCCACCCAGGTTGTCAGCCTGGCACAGGGATATTTTGTGAAAACATTTACTGAATAGATAAACCCTGAGCAAGACCATGAGAGAGCCTAGGTCTTATTAGACTCTAGCTAAATGCAACTGCTCATGTTTAGATATCAGTCATCTGAGACTAGATAGGAGTCATGAAATTCCTCTCCAAAACAAAAGTATTTCAGTCCCTTCTTTAATATGTACTAACTCTAAAATTAGCTTTAGATATTACAAGTACTTTTTATAGGCACCCCACAGAAAGTTCAGACTATCACCACACAGAGATCTATGACCTGAGCTACGAAATGAAGCAAAGGCCAAAGGAAAAATTTCAGTGACCTATAAAGACCTGAAAGGGAGATACTGAGAACAGTGTGGTCATTTCAATTTCAGCTGCAGAATTTGCTCTTGAAAATGTACAATAAAAAATATTAATACCATAAAAACCTAACAGCAGCCAAAGGACCACAGTCATAAAGAAAAAACATAAATCCTAAAACATATTGGCACAGAAGGCTCTTTCTCACCTTCAAAAAAAACTGGATATAGACTGTCAAGAACAGTCTGAACAAGTGAAACTTCCATCACATGGCAAAGTGGAGAAAAGTGACAAGTATAATAATAACAATAAGAAAAAGAAGGACAAACGGCCACACAAAGAACGCAGGAGGTGCTGGAATGCATGCTGCCCTCATGAAGCTCCCAACAGCCTCATGAAGTAGAGGCTACTATCAAAGGTTAAGTGACAGGGCCAAGGTCACTGAGCAGAAGTGCACAAACATAATCTGACTCCAGAAGTTGTGGTAGGACCCAGGCAGCATGGACACCCCTGAGAATGGCTTTGCCACACTCATGCCCAGCCCTCAGTCTCTCCTCCATGTAATAAAGAAAGCTAGATTCAGGATTCCTTCCCATTCAAAAGGCAGGCAACGAAATGCACAACGAAAATTCTACCATTTTGTTAAACTTTAACAGTGCCCTTCAAAAATAATCACCTCCTTCCAAAGCTGCTTTAATAGTAAAGTAATATATCTAGTTTAACACTTTAAGTTCCCAGCTCAGAACAAGAACTCGATAAACAGTAGCTATTATTACTCTTATGATAAAACAGGAACAATCACTTAAAAGTAGAGTAGATTTTAATTATACACAATATGGAATAATCAAATCTCATGCATTTGAGGCCCTAGACCCACAGCATAGATCGCATTGTACAGCTGAAATTATAACAACTCAAAGCTCAGAAATTACTTGTTTCCATTAGAGATCTGACAAGTCATTTCTTCAATTGGTCACTGGTGGTTTGCAGATAACTATTAGCAGTAATGAGTATTCTAAATTAAATTCAGAGACAGCACCACTCTGTTTTGTAAAGACAACTGGGAGAGAGAAACATAATTGTGGCGCGTCCTTCTCTCTGTGTCCTCCGTCTTCTCTCTGATAAATATCTCCTGTGTCTTGCATAGTATGGATTTCATTTGGTTACAAATGAAGAAGGGTCTAATTCTTCCCATGATAAATGAGAGCGTAGAGCAGGTAACTTGTTAAAGAGAAATGGAATTGGGAAAACAACCTTATTTTCCTGATACCTGAAAACAAAACCCCTCGGCTTACAAATGAAAGACACAGCACTGGAAGACATTGGCACACAATGACTCCTTGGTGCTGTGTGCAGGCTGCTCATGGCCCACTCAACAGCGACCACGTCTACAAAATACCAGGGGAGGTGCAAGGCACAGGAAAGAATAATGGTTCTGCAATCACTAAAAACATGGAATCCAATTCCAGCTCTGTATCCCCTCACATATCATATGACCTGAAACAAGTCTTTCCCACTCTTAAGATTCCTTGTTTGTAAAGTGGAGATAATACAAAATACCTAAAGAGTTGAAGCAAGGACTAATTAGGAGCCATAAATAATGTGCGTTATGTTACTGCAAGGCCTTCGACAAATGCTAGCTCCCCTCAACTGTGCAATATGGAACACCCTCATCAAATACCCAAAGCTGGACCTGCAAGTGGCCCTCGTATGAAAGGCTGACAGAGAATACACAGTCCCCAGAAAGGAGCTCTCTCCTGGGTCTGGTTGGACAGCAGCAGCAGGCTTGATCTGTCAGGAATAATGATTTGGCATCTCCACTTACATTCTCAAAGTCCTTCATGTTCCGTACTCTGGTGGGAGACACCTTTTCTTCTGACACTTGTGGGAGCTCTAGAAAAAGGCAAAACAGACAGAAAACGTCATGGCATGCAAACTGCCCAACATTCCCTTTAAGGCCTAGAGGCCCGAGAAGACAAGAATAGCTTCCACATGTGCCATGCTGGCGCTTCCTGCCTATTGTGATTTACTGATTCAAGTCTAGGGAAAGTTCTAAACCATTTTATTTCAACACTGACAAGGTACTTAAACTATCCCCAGTGTAACCATGCATATTAGAGGATGAACCCAAAAAATACAGCAGGCACACAGCACAGCAGATTGTACTGACACGTGCTTCCTCAACCTCTCAAGTCAGACTCTGGAACGAAGTATGGCTAACGAACTTGATAGCAGGGGCTGGCCAATTTCTCCTAAAAACACCAGACAATGACCATTCTGGGGTTTGCAGGCTACAAACAAAGCCTAAAATCTGTCACAGCTACTTGATTCCTGCAATAGCACAAAAACAGCCACAACCAACTCATAACAATGTGGTGCATTCCAATAAGAATCTACTTCCTAAGTCAGCTAATGGGTGCCAACCGTCAACCCCTGCTTTAGATGAGTACTGACTTTTCCAGCACCCAAGTTTTTCCACAACTTAATTCAACAAACACTTCGCAAACACCTGCTCTGCACCAAGCACCATCCTATGTGCTGGGGGAAATGATGAAGACAAGATCCTGCACCCAAGGATTCCCACAAGGGGGCAGAACAGAGAGGACAACAAACTGTGAGCATGCTGAGCCAGCTCCTGGAGCTTTGCAGGTGTTGAGTAAGCGTGTGTGGAGAAAATGAACGGATTCACTCTCCCAGCAAAGGTGCGCTGAGAGCCGACTTTCTGCTAGGCAGTTTGGGATGTGACCACATCAGGCAACAAATGGAGCTGCTATTCAGAGGAAAACAGGCAACAAACAAAATAATCAGGCAACTGTCAGATATGTTAAAAGGTGATAAAGCCATGGAGACAAAGTGAGTGAGGGTGGGAAATGCCAGGGGCGGGGTGGGCACTGCAACTGAGGAAGGCCTCACCGAGAAGGCCACGCCTGCCAGACTTGAAGGGAAGCAGCCAGTGGCCTAGGGAGGAACACTCCAGGTACAGGGAGATGCCTGAGATGGAGGGCACCCCGGGGGTCTGAGGACCAGCCATGAGACAACCACTAAGATCAATTCACAAAGGGCACAGTAGAAGAGGAGATAGGAGAGGTTCCAGGGACAGGCTGCACATGGCCCTGTGGGTTCTTCTACAGATGGAGCTGCCCCTGGGGATTGTGAACAAGGGAGTGAAATGAGCAGACTCAGGTTTCTACAAGCTCCCTCTGGCTGCCTGGCTGAGAACCGACTGCAGGAGGCTTAGGAGAGAAACAAGGAGACTGTCGGGGTAACTCAGGAAGAATCCAGGCTGGAGGTGATATAAGTGGATGAGGACTGGTTTCATTTGGGACATTTTAAAAGTAGCCAACAGGAATAAATGAAATGAAGTGAAAGCACAACTACACAGGCCACAGGAGAGCCACAGAAGGGGACTAGCTTTGAACTGAGCCCTAGAGAGACAGCAGGCAGATAAGAAGGACGGATGCCCAAACAAAGGCCCAGGGGTGGGCACAGTGTTTGGATACTACTCAGCAGAAAGAGGCTGAGGGGTGGGCCAGGGCAACTGGAGGCACACAGGTTTGTTTTCCTGTTCCTCAAATGGGCCACGCTCTGTCTCCTGTGTCAAAGACAGCTGACCCTTCTCCCCTTCTCCTTCCCTACCACGGTTCTAACCCCCCTCCAAGTCTCAGCTCCTAGGTCAGGTTCTTCAGAAACTCTCACCTGACTCTGACCCCATAAATCTCTCTTCACACCAATCATTCAATGTCTACCATAACTTTTTGTTTGTCAGTGTCCTGGGCTCAAGGGTAATGACATTCAAGCTTGAATCCCAAGCACTTCACCCCCGGAGTCTGGCATGAAGCCAATGTACAGACAAAGTACGGCTAACGGGCTTGACAGCAGGGGCTGGCCACTGGCTGAATTAAGGAGTGGATATAATAATTTTCTGCTTCTAACTACCTATAGGCAGGAAGAGCAGGTTTATGGGATTTTTAAGTTAATAGGTTCCAAAGGAAAACCCGAGGATGGCCTATCTGTTTCAGAATTCTCCAGAAATGACACAGTGACTCTTATCCTGGCTGCTCTAAAAACTTCCTGCTGCACATACCAATCTCATTACTCTGGAGAGAAAGGAAAAAATCAAAGTCAAGATATCTCTAAGTTCAACAAGGCAAATTACTAGCACAAACCACACAGCCACCTAGGAGGGACTTCACTCTTTCCAAAAATGGAAATTTTGAAGAATGCTGAGCAAGACCTGACTGCAAAGGCACCTCATAATCCACTCCAGCACAAGACCCCACTTGACTCAGCCATATCTCCTATGCTCTAGTAGCCATGTGAAGGACGGGCTGAGCAGCACTGGCCGCAGCCGGCCGACGGTACCCAGCAGCTGCCTGCAAGGCCTTGGCACACACAAGTCCGGACGGCAACTCTTCAGGCCTCCAGCCACTCGGCCTGGAGAAAACAGACACCGCGTGTGAGGTCTAGCCACCAGCTCCATGTCCAGCTTCCATGCAGCTGTTCAGTTCGGCAAGCCCTAGCTGAATCCCTACAGGCGTGGCAGCAGGCAACTGCACCCGTGAAGTACTGCCTCGGACATGCACTCCTGAGTTTGCCCAGCGTCTATGAAGGGAGGTGGAGGGCAGATCAACACATCTGTACTGTAAAATGCTGAGCACTGGCTGTGTACCAAGCCTGGTGGGCTCTAGGACCCAGAGGGATGGAAGTTCAGCCCTGGGCCTCAGGGCACTTGGTCCATGTCTGCTTCCCTTGTTCTCAGTCAAAAAGTGACTGCTTTGTGTGCTTACCTCCATTTTCCAATCCAACACAGGTATTGATGCCATCCAGGTCATCTGGGCAAGCAGGAGCAACGTCACTAGGAAAGAACACACAGGGTAAAAGAGGAGCCAGGTTTGCACAACAGAGACTGTTCAGACTGCCGAGATATGAATGGCATCAGCAGGCCACAGCTGAGAGGGACACATAGCCCAGCTACCTGGGAGGCATGAAGCTCAGGCACTGGGGCCGAGTTCCGCCTCAGAACGGAGTTCCAGCTCTAACATCAGGAGCTGTGTGACTGACCCCTGCTAGATGGGTCATTCATGCATTCCTTCACACATCTAATGTTCCATGTGCCAAATGTGTGCTGGGTGCAGAGGCACTGTGCCAAGTACACAGTAATTACGTTAATTTTATGAGTAAAATGCTATAGTCTACCTGTGAAAATTAGTCAATTCAGGTACATAAACACAGCACATAGTAGGTCCTAAATAAATGACATCTATTATTTTGTTATCATCGTTATTATTATCATAAATATGCCTGCAATAGTCTAGATATTAGGTGTCCCCCAAAAGCTCATGTATGAGACAATTCAAGAAAGTTCAAAGTTGAAATGATGAGATTCTTAACCTAATCAGTGCATTTAATCCCCTGATACGGGTTATTTGGGTGGTAACTGTAAGCAGGTAGGATGTAGCTGGAGAAGGTGGGTCATTGAGGGCAGGCCTCTGGGGTTTATATTTTGTCCATGGTGAGGTGAGTGCATTCCCTCCTTCCCCCCACCCCTCTCTCTCCCCGCGGGGTGGCCATGTCCTGAGCTGCTTTCCTCCACCACTCTCTTCCACCATGATGCTCTGCCTCTCCTGGAAACAGCTGACTATAGATAGAGATCTCTCAAATCACAAGGACCAAATAAACTTCTCCTCCTCTAAAACTGTTCTGGTCAGGTCTTTTGGTTGCAGCAGTGAAAAAGCTGGCTGAAACAATGCCATTTCAACCAAAATTTAAAACTCTGGGAATCAGGCACCAACTTAGATGCCTTAAGAATGTCAGACGGCTGGAGTACAGCTCAGTGGTAGAGTTTGCATATCATGCAAGGCCCTGGGTTGGACCCCCAGCTCCAGAACAAAAGAATGTCAAACAAAAATGCAGAATCCACTGATCCAAGACGTTTTACTGGTTGAGTTATATAAATAGGTTCAGTGAGGATTCAGGGATACTGACAGAAAACTAGACCATAACTGGAGGTATGATTTGACACAACAGAAACTGCCCTGGGTTGTAGTACAGCCTCTACAAGTACCTCTCCAAGCCTGGCCCCCTTCAGCTGTAACAGGAGAAAAGCAGTACTTCATAAAGTAATGGGCAATCAAACAAGATACAAAGTGCCCAGCAATGTACTTGGCATATTGTGGACCCTCCATAAGCAGGAGAAAAACATCACTGTCATCTTGAAACACATAATGTTTTACAATTTATAATTCATGAAATATTTACCATCGTTAGAACTGCCCAATTCCCTGAGGGTTCATGCATTTTTCAAAGGAAGGCTCTGAAGCCCAGACAATGTCAGTGTCCTAGACAGAGTCACATGGCTGTGGAGAACCAAGTCCAGAATCCAGGCCTTTTATGTCTATTGCCTAATAATGCTTCCCTGACCCAATCTGAAAAACTCAGAGCTGATGGAGGCTCAGCTCAGCTTCTCAGCAGATTGCTCTTTCCTGCTTCTAAATCCAAATGCATTCTGCCCTCTGATAATTTTGCCTGATCACCAAACTATGGAGTTGGAATCAATCTTTAAGTTCAGGACTGAGCCAAAAATTGAAACTATCATAAAAACCCAAATCCAACATCAGGAAAATAAAATATGTCTGCTATAAAGATTAATTAAAAACTTGGAGTAATCCTCAATCCTGAATACATAAATGTACACAAATGTCACCCCAAATCCTCTTTTAGAATGGGTGGGCCATAAATACATACCCAGACAAAAGAAATACACTGAAATATTGAAAATCATCATTTGTAGGGAAATGAGAGATACTTTCTTCCTTTTTAATTTTCTCTAATATATTAATTTCTTCCAATAAGCATCACCAAAAGGTCAAAGTCCATTTTCTACACTGAATTTCAAAAATTAAAATCAAGTTCAACTACCACCTTATACAGAGAGTGGTGCAAAAGCACAAGTCACATACAAGGTTACTGGCCAGGCTTACCCTGGAGTCTGGTCCTAGATCTCTGACCGGGATTCGTTCTGCCAGGACCATTACATTAACTCCCACTGGCTGGAACAGCCCATGAGTAACTCAAGCCAAGGTCAATCACACCTGAAAACTACCTGGCAGACAAAGACAAAGTTGTCTCAGCTTCCAACAGGCAAACACTGAAGCTGCCAAATTTTATCTGTCTGCTCTTAAACGTTATCTATCTGTCATCTGCACCCTCCAGTCATTCCAACTACACCTTCCCATTCTGATCACTCCCTCACTCTTGGCCTTAGAATAAGGCTGGGGCCTCATGGAGAGCCCTGGAAATTAAACAAGGTCATCAAAAGAGGGCTCAGACATGAGTTCATCCTTTCATAGATGGACAAATGAGGTCCAGAAGGTAGAGGAACTTATCTACTCAAAATCACAAAGGGTTAGTGAGCCAAAACCCAGTTCCTGGTGCCACATCCCTGCCTGGGCTGCCCAAAGCCACTAAGTAACATGACACATGGTGGAGTGCCAGTTTCCTCACGTGCAAAGGTAAGCAATCAGAAGAAATCCACCCTGTCGGGCACCCTCACCGTGCAGGTATCCTGGGCAAGACAGGGCAGGCAGCCTCCCACCTAGTCCTCATCACAGCCTGCTGAGCTTTCTAAAACTTCCTAAAATGCTGCCATTTTGTTTAAAATGAGAAAACAAAGGCCCAGAAAAGTAAAGCTACAAAACCCAAGCTGGCCCAACTTCAAATCCCATGCTCTGTTCCTCTACATCACCCTGATGTCCCCAACACCTTCCTGGGGTGTGGTGGGGGACCCAATGCATGGAGGCAGAGGGCTTATGGTGCTTGGCACAGGGCGCACACTGCTATTCTGGACTTTGCTGAGTGAACAAGTACCACCCCCACCCCCGTGCAGCTGCACCTCCTCTCTCCATCACCGCCCTAAGGGAGGCCTCCCCTCTAGGCTTCTATTTGCCAGCAACAATCGTCCTTTCACTTCACAAGACTCCAGGACCCAACGTTTCACTGACAGTGCGGGAGAGCCAAGGAAGGAACTGGACATCACGTTCGGAAACATCACACCAACAAGTACGCCTTTGTTTGCCTTTTAACAATTCCTTTTTCATCCCATGAGATTCATTCTTAATTAGAGAAAAACATAAATACAAAACTCCAGCTACACCTAAAGTTCTCCCTGACCCCTCCTCACGCCCACCTCAGTTTCCCCTCAGCAGTAACCACTGACGTCAGAAGATGCACATCGGATCCTCCAGGCCCTTCTCTAGACATGGGGTTTTATTTCCTAGCATAAAGAGAAAACAAATGCGGACCAACTATACATACTATTCTGCAACATTTTTCCTCTACTAAAAGGTGTCCTGAAGATGTTCTGATGACAGTACTAACGCGTGCGCTTCAATATTTGTAACTCCCACAAAGCATTCCACAGCACTGTTTTTCAAACTTTACTGACCATGATCAGTCCTTAATTCCAGAACTACTTTCTATTCTGTTTCACTTTTTAAAGGTCTGGTTGCAACCAACTAAACTGAATTGCATGAGCTACCAATGGGTCACAAACAGTCTGAAAGGCACTTTTGAAAGGATGGGTATTTACCCAATCTCCTACTGATAGTAACTCAGTTTGTTTCCATTTTTCTTTTACAAACAAGCTGTATGTATACAGGTCTCACTATGCACATGTATGAGGGTTTCTCTAGGATTGATAGCAGGCAATGGAACTGCTGGGTCAAAACATAGGCACAATTTTAAAACCGGACAAAGGATTTGATTAAACATTTCACCAAAGAAAACACAAAGGGCTAATAAACACATGAAAAAATTATTTAATATGGGGGCCAGGATTGTGGCTCAGTGGTAGAGCACCTGACTAGCATGCACGAGGCACTGGGTTCAATCGCTGACACCACATAAAAATTTAAAAAAGAAATAAAATAAAGGTATTGTGTCCATCTACAACTAAAAAAAATTTTTTTAAATACTTAATATGATTAGTCATTACAGAAATATAAAGTGATTCCACAATGAGATACATGTCACACCTCCAATGGAGGTTATAAAAAGACAAAAAAATAGCAAGTGCTGGTGAGGATGTGAATAAAACTAGAACCTTCAAACCCTGCTCATGGGAGAGACAAATAGCGAGGCCACTTTGGAATAGTTATGCAGTGCCTGAAAATGATACAGAGTTCCCAGAAAGCTCAGCAAACCCCCTGGGCACATGCCCAAGAGAAATGAAAAATATATGTCCATACATAAACTTGTGGACAAAGCCAGGCATGAGGGCACAACCCCATAATCCCAGCTACTCCAGACACTGAGGCAGGAGGATTGCTAAATTCAAGGCCAGCCTCCAAAACTTTGTCAGACCCTGTCTCAAATTAAAATAAAGAGGGCTGGGGTGGCTCAGTGGTAGAGCTCCTCCTGCCTAACATGTAGTAGGCCTTGGGTTTGATCCCCAACACTGTAAGAGAAGGAGAAAGAGAAGAATAAATTGTACATAATAGCAATGATATTCATAATAGATTTAAAAAATAAGCAACCCAAATGTTCATGAACATGAATGACTAAACAGTGTGTGGTACCTGGGTACACTGGAAAGTTATTTGACCATAAAAAGAAATGAAGTACTGATACATGCTACAACATGGATGAATCTCACAAAAGACTCCATGTGTGCGTGTGCATGCATGTATGTGTGTGTGTGGGGTGTGTGTGTGTGTGTGTGTGTGTGTTTTGCTGGGGATGGAACCCAGGGGACCTGAAATGCTAGGCAAGTGCTCTACTACTGAGCTACACTCCGAGTCCTAAAGATCATATATTGTAAGTTACCATTTATATGAAACGTCCAGAACAGGGAAATCA